TTGTGGTTTGGTTTCAGTTAAAAGTTCTGAATATTTCTGTTTGTTGGTACATTCATTAAAACCATAGCCTTTTAACATTGTGCCAGCTAATCCCAAGTACACAACATAAATGCATGAATGCACTAATTAAAATATTTTCTGACTTTAAAAATTTGTTTATAACTAAGAGGTACAACTTTTATTTGCTTGTAGTTGCCCTTTGATGTGTCTCATGTATGGTATGCCTAGTGTATACTGCAGAGAGGGAAACCTGTGCCAACCAGCCCCACTCTCCCCCTAAAAAGAGATGCAATGAAAAGCCTACTCAAACTAGACCGTGAAGGTCTTTACCTTACATTAAGAAGATGCACTGCATTGAGAATTCCATATGACAAAATTAGTAAGGACAAGTAAAGAAAATGAAATCCTTCTCAAAACTATGAATAATGTAATACGTGTATGAACCTGCCAAGCCCCCCAAAATAATTTGTTCCCCTAAAAATATGGCTGTGCCTTTTAAAGGACCTCTACGTTCAAATATGAATTTCGAACCCTTCCATCATTCGCAATTTAGTGAGTCATTTCAATACACCCAAAGTAATCCCTTCACTGAAGGTGAATGCCAGACTTACTGAAATGTAGTTCAGTGGATTTCAGTTATTCTGTAAATTGCACAGTTTGCTTCCAGCTGGAATTTCTGTTTGCAGTTTTCTCCTATGATTACCTGTCATTCTGCAATTCGATGAAGTGGAGCAAGCTCCTTCAAACCAACCGCCTCTGCAACAGAGAAGTCTGCCCTGTCTGCTTTGCTATTAAACAACATAATCAAACAGATTAATGACTATCCACAGGGACTACTGATAACAAACCCATAACTCAACAGGGCTTCGAGCATGTTTACGTTATTGACTGCGATGAACAGGAGGTAATGAGGATAAATTTATAAACTTCATGCTTTTGATTTATATTGATGTGCTGATCTATAAGTACTCAGAGGTGATTATCATTGCTGTGGTTGCTTACAGACTAGAGCTGTGTTTTGTTTTGAGCTACTCACTTGAGGCCTGCTCTAGCGGGACACTCTACGTGAGTGAACTTTTCTATCATTTGATAAATTCATAGTTAATTAACCTCTACAAATCTGCATGAGCTGTGCCACACCTGTACAGAATCTCTCTCCAAAACTAATTACACTGGCCCTGTGGGAGAACGATTGATTGCATTCTCTCTGTCTTAGTGCTTTGCCTTTTTCCCAAATGGGTTTTTCTGAGTGTGAATTATGTGTTTTGGTGAATGCTCTCTCTTTGAACATTGTGCTTTGAGCATGCATAAGCCTGTGGATTTCACTCACATATGCTAGTGATCATTCCGCTCAAAGTTAGTTTTGGAGCTTATTCTTCAAAACAATGATGATTTCTAACACTTTAATCAAGCAGGCTGTTTGGTCGTGAATTTGCACACCTGTTGGCTCTACGTGGCAGCAGTATCAGTGTGGAGGCCAGATCTAATGTTGTGGGCCCAATGTTTTCATTAGAATCTCTCTGGAATGTTTCTCTAGCCAGAGATAAGACTTCATTAATGCTTTTCCTCACAAAGAAGAGCCTGTCTTTCTCTCTTTCTTTCTCTGTGTCTCTCTCATACTGACTCATGTACAGACGGTTATATGCAGCTGTGAAGGTTTTTATCTCTTTAGTCGTTCTGATCAAGAGAGATTTGGTGACTAGGCGGATAGTGGAGCTGTAAGATGGCCTTTTAAACTCTCATTCGCTTCTTCAGATTATTGTATAACCAGTTTTTGTAAAACTGTTATAATGTTATCAGAACCGTCAGTGAAAGGTTGTGAGTTCACGACTGGTTTTGTAAATTTTCATTAATAGGTTTTTAACATGATCCTAAAACCAAAGGCTCCGAAATAGTTCTTGGCTTGGATGCTTTTTTAGAAAAAAACTTTTCATTCATATATAATCTTTAGCTTATATGGAGGTTCTTTAAACCTTAAAAAGCCTCTTCAGAACCCATGCAGAACAAGGGAATTCACAGAACCAAAACAACTAGAAGAGGACACATAAGGTAACTAGCAAAAATAACAAAAAACTGAAGACACATGAACAGGTAACAAGAAACTATGGCTAGGAATCAACAGTGAACATACACATACAAAGTCACGCAAAGCACAGGACAAACAGAAGGGGTACAAATACTGGAGAAAACAAATGCGGCACCTGGAAATACTCAAACAGCATGGCAACAGACAAGATGCAGGTGCAGGACATGATGAAGGGACAGAGCTAGGGAGATACAAGTGGGTGGAGACAGGAAAAACAAAATAAAAACAGAGGAAGAGGAAAAAACTGAGGAAGTACGTAAACAAAGGAGGGAAACGAGAGAACGTGTAGAGAGAAGTACCACTCTGATGTCTCTCAGGTTTCTCAAACACTAGAGGGCGCTCCTGAGCAAGTCCAAAATGAATGGGTTAATGTGGAGCGTTGAAGCAAAACCATAGTTTATAAATGGATAAACATGTTTAATATAAAAAATACATTAATTTCGCTGCTGTTGGGAACAAAACCTCATATCTCCATTTTTTCATTTCAGTTTTTGGCATAATTTGAAAATACTTGTTGCCCTTTACATTTTGCTTAAATTTCATGATCACTAGACCAAAAAAAGGCCCAAAATGACTTGGTAAAAAGTGTGTTTCCATTCATTTACATTAAAAGTAAAGTATGTTATTTTCTTCTCCTGTAAAGTTATCATTTTAAAGATACAAGATTTTGTTCCAACAACAGTGATTTCCTGAACACTGAATAGCATAAAACATTTTTACACTGCTGTTATACTGTTAACACTTTTGAACTCCAGTTAAAGGAGTTTAAAATGGCACCTCGTGTGTTCATGACGTCAGTGAGCGCGAACAACCAATAAGCTGCACACAGTAGCAGTAATGCTAGCATTTTACTGCCCAAAACCTGTTTGCTGTAGAAAAAAAGGAAATATACAGTTATGTTTTCTTTGCTTTATTAGTGAAATACATATTTCTACTTTACAAAATTGAAGGAAAGTCCTGGACAAGTGGTTAGAAACTATTTAAACTTTTTGTTTTTTTTTAGCCTCCATTCATTTAGGACTTGCTCGTGGGTGCCTTCTTGTGTTTTGCATTCATGTTTTTTGTATACTGGGGGAAATCGGAAGCAGCCAGGCTCCTCTTAAACCGGCTCTGGGAAAACAGACAACGACAAGGTCAAGACAGGGCAAAATACGATACTTAAGGACATTTTTACAGTACACAATATACATCACAGTATTTCTATTTTTTCTGAGAAGAACAAAAAGAACAAAAGAGCAAAAGAACAAAAAACATGATGTAATATGCATGTGTTAATGTGTAATGTGACATTACATGTGCTAATGTCATATACGTTATTTGTGTGCAAATACTAGGGGTGATGTGGAAAAGGTAACATCACAACACTTAAGGACATTTTCATGATACATAAGATGCATGATATTTAGTTTAGTTAGAGCTAAAACTATGTATGTACTGATTGTTATACAGTGTTTTATCTTTTGTGCTGCACTGAATTCAGTGAAACAGGGCTAATCATGATCTTTATAATGAAACATGCAGTTGGTCAGTGTTCTGAAAGTACTGATGATATCCACGATTTACGTAATTGAAAGTTTCCTTATGGTGGTGCTTCTGTGGCATTGCTCCAAAGGTACTTGTATTTGTCCTCTTTTTTGAACTCATTTATTGTACTTTCTTTACTTAATATACATTGGAACTCAATATTTTTACCTGAACTGTTTGTGTTTATACTACATTAGTAAATTACTGTGGTGTTCTTCTACTTCTTTCTCTCTCTGTCTGGGTCTGCCTCTCTCTCTCTCTCTCTCTCTCTCTCTCGCGCGCGCTCTCTCTCTCTCTATCTCTCCCTGTCTCCCTATCTTGTCTTTGCCAGTGTTGCTATGCAGACACGCTGAGGGCTCTGGCTGTGGCTTTGCTCTTACACTTTTGCCTCATAGGTTCCATCTCAACACACACACGGTTCAGAGATAGAGTTTCGCTAACCTCTTCTCCTTGTGCATCAGACACTCTTATGCATCTCCTGACTGAATGCCTAAGACTCAAGATTCAGCAAATGTGCACAAGCTTTGAGAAGGCCATATCTCTCTCTCCCTCTCTGTCTCTCTCTGACTCTTTTTTCTTGTTTCTTTTGTTTTATCTCTGTCCTCTTTCTACCTTCATCTCTCTATATTTCTCTCTCTGTATTTCTCTCTCTCTGTTTCTCTCTGGCTGTCTTTCTCTTTTTTTCCTTTTTTCTCTGTTCTCCTTCTTGCTTCATCTCTCCCTGTATTTTTCTGTCTGTATTTCTCTCTCCGTGTTTCTCTCTGGCTGTCTCTCTTTTTTGTTCTCTGTTCTCTGTTCTCTTTCTACCTTTGTCTCTCTCTTTCTCTGTATTTCTCTCTCTTGCTCTTTTTTTCTCACTCCCTCTCTTGCTCTCTCTCTGTCCTTCACTGTCTCTCTCTGACTCTTTCCCTTTTCTTTCCTTTTATCTCTGTCCTCCTTCTATGTTTATCTCTCTCTGTATTACTCTCTCTCTTTGTTTCTGTCTGTCTCTCTTTCTCTTTTCTTTCCTGATATCTCTCTGTACTCCTTCTACCTTTATCTCTCTCTTTGTATTTCTCTCTCACACACCCCTTCTCTGTCACACCTTTCTTTTTTCTGACTTACTCTCCCTTTATTCCTTTCTCTGCTCTCTCTCTGTCTCTCTCATTTTCTCACTTGTTCTTCTTTTTCTTTCTTTCTTTCTTTCTTTCTTTCTTTCTTTCTATCTTTCTCTATTTATTTATTTTTCTCTGTCCCTTCTTTCCCCCCCTCCCCCCAGTCTGCTCCCCTTCCTTAGCAGTAGGTGGTATAACCCGTCGCTCCTGTTGCCCCCCTGCTGCAGTGACTGAGTTGGTACAACCCACCGGCAAAGCTCTGGCAGTGTTGTCATTGATTCAGTAGTAACAGAGCAGGCTGCTGAGAGGAGAAGCTGTAGAAGCACTAGAGAGAGAAAGCAAGAGAGTAGCGACTATATGAGCTAAAGTAGGAGTGAGAGTAGATTAAGATAAGAAGGAAAAGAAGGGGGAAAGCAGGTGGTCGTCTGTATCTACAGCTTGCTGCCGCAAGTGAGCCCTCTTTGTTTGGCCATTCCTGATATGACCCTTTTTAAGAGTGAACATCACAGCCCACAATGTGAGTATGCCACTGGACTTAATCTTTCTCTTCCGCTTCTCTGTCTTGCCTTTCTTTCATTTCTCTAGCTCACTTCTCCTCTGCTGTGTCCTCCACTCCTGCTCTCAATTTGCTGTGTAACGGCATGATGTATAGGATGGTGCTTTGGTTTGTGTTGTGTTTTCCTGGAGCATTGACAGTGCTTTTTGAGAGTGGGAAAGATGTGGACATACTGTTAAAGGTGACATACTGAAGTAGAGGCTTCCAGTGCGTCATAAGAACAGAGTGAACTTTAGTGTCCAGTTATGGACATGGCTCAGAATGCGGCTGTGTTTGACTCTGTGTGAATGTGATGCCCCAGGCATACTGCATGTATTTGTGTATATGTGTAAGTTTTTGAAATATATTAGCTAATTTCCATTTGTCACTCCAAAGGATGCCCGTGATATCTGAAAGCAATTGTGAAAGAGATTGACATGGAGAAACAGAGGTAGAGAAAGAGAGAGTGAGAAAAGGGGAATTAGGGACACTGTCAAATACTGAGTGTGTCTCTGAGTGCAGAAGGACTCTTTCTCTGCAAGGGCTGGTGGGCTCAAGCTCACCTGTCCATCCTTCTCACTTGCTTTCATTCTGCATCTCAAGCTGACGGTGCAGGTGCACACAGTTCTCAGGGGTATCTGACCAAAAGTGTAACATCAAACCTGACCCATTCCATCTATTACTTTGTGGGAGAAAACATAAGCTCTTAAACTGCAAGCTTATTATTCAGTTATTAATGGCTTATTATTCAGTAAGTGCTATAAAACTAAAATTGCTGCTGTATCTCTAATAATCCTGTATCTCATTTTTAATTTCCTTTAAAATAATTAGAAAATGCTAGCTGCCCTTCATATGGTGTGAACATTTCATATTATGTGGACCAACAGAAATAGTCCAACTAAGTTAAAAATGGTTTCTAGGGTAACCAAACAATCAATCCATGAATTGATTTCGTTCATGGCACTGAGTTTTTAGCAAAATTCAATTGAAGAAAATAGCTCATTATAATTTTGTTGCCCATTGTTTTAAATACACCAGAGCTGGGATGCAAGAAGAGTGCTGAAGTGAGTTGTTGTTTGGTCGCTTGCAAACATAGGTGTTTAAACAATGCAGTTGCATTAGGTGGACTAGATCAGATTAAAGAATGTTCATTCTCCACAATGCACATTTTCAGTTTTGTATTGTTTTGAATTGTATTGAGTTCAAGTAATGTCCTGATTACAGTCTCTTACATTTTAAGGTGCTTATATTATAAGGAGTCTTATATTACATGAACACAAACTCCAGCAACTTTCAGAAGATTAACTCACAGAAGTGGTAATAATTGTGACAAGTTGTGTACTTTCTTTTCTTGCTCAGCCTGGGAGTGCATCAGTCCCAGAAGAGCAGAAGAGAAAGCTAGTGGCTGTTGTGCGTAATGTGTACATGAACCACTGCAGAAAGGGGTCGTGTTCCTGCCAAACAAGTGTGAACACTCACTCTGTTGCATTCTGTAATATGGAAGTATTACAGTTGTGTAAGATAAGATCAGATGAGTTCAGAGATCAGAGATCAATTAGCTGAATATATCAGATGAATCCCATGGATTTATCCCATGGTATGGAAATCATGTTGATAATATGTAGTATTTCACTTAAGAGCTTATAAGCAACATTGAACTGTATGAAAAATGTTAAACATGCAAGCTTGATATTCTGCACATATGCAATGCAAAATGCAGTAAATAAATGTGTTCATTAAATGAAAACAAAATGCATGTTTATAGATCTGGTAAAATTAAAAGTAAAATGCAGGAGGAGATTACTGTATTTTGATTAACGCTTACTACTGTGTACAGCAGAATACAGCTACATCACAGTAATCTTGTGGTCCAGGTGACTGTGGAGTCAAATTATACAGTTGCTATTTTACTGTTATTTACTGTTAATACTGTTATTTTCAATTGTTACTGTTATTTCAAGATTGCTGTTAATTTGCTGTAATTTTACAGCAAAAGTTTTAACTGTAAATCTGATAAAGAGAATTATTAGACATTTAACTAAATGTGAGGTTTTTTTTTGTCAAGATCAATTTTTGAAGCGTGGAAGGCAGGCCCACATTTGTTTAAGGTCACATTTATCTGATGTCAACTTTTGATTTAGGACATGGTTCAGAATAAAAATAAGTAATAGAAAAATGCAGACAGTAGACAGGGGCAAAATCAACGTGTGTTATAATTATAGTGCAACATACCGTAGCAATGTTTCCTGTCACTGAAATAAAATAAATGTATAAAATTAGCTGCAAGATGCCACACAACTTACCAAATAGGCCAAGTGTACTGACAAACCGGTCATACATGCCTTCAGGCTATGTAGACTCTACACCATTAAGCAAAGAGACTATAGTCTATAAGGAGGTGGATAGAGGTACCTAATAGTTTGAGTGAGATGTTTGCATTTGCAATTACTTACAGTTCAACACAAGATCAGAAGAGAGACTAGGAGAGTAAACCAGGGAGAGAAGAAGATAGAGAGACAGATAGAGAGTTGGATCGGGGACCATCTTCCAGATGCTCTTAGCCCCTCAGTCACATCTGCTGTTAAAAGGCTCCGGATGTGAAGCCCCAGGGAATTCCTCTCAGTGACCGGCCCAATCTCTGGCATCAACTGATTACTTTCCAATCTGCTTCATTATTCATGCCTGTCATTGATCATTTATTCATGGGCTCTGTCTGTTACCACTTCCACTGCAGCCGGATGAGTGGTGCGGGGAGTCTATCTCTGAGAGCGGGCTGTACTGATGTAAAACACTGAATGGGAGCAGGTAAATCAAAGCATCTTTTTTCTCCCTTCAAACAATCAGTTAAATAGAACTGCTAGAACTGTAAACTTAGTGTTGAGGTATTTGCTGGGTCCTTGAAATGTCTTTTTTTTAACTATTAAGGAATAGTGAATTTATGAACTGCCTTTATAACATACCTTGCATTCAATTAAATATCTGTTAATTCCCTTCACCTGAACTTAATCCTCACTTTGTTGCCAAACCTAAGGCCAAAAACGTAGTGCCTTTTTTGACCAGGCAGGGCAGTACGGCACAATACGTTTATTAATTCAAATCCAGAACCGTCCGTGTCCTGCTTTTGTACCCATGTCCATTTTTCATCACACAGAGCTGTAAAAGTGGGTGTGGTTCTCTGGAGGTTGTGTTCAAGTCATTTGGCCATTTGTTTTTATGTAAAATACCAAGCTGTACCACACTGCTTGGTGGAGAAATGCCAATGCTCAACACAAACACAGATGATAACGCCTGGCCAGTATATTACAAGCACACCATCCTGCATGGTTAAAACACTCAAGGTGGGGGTAGAAGAGCAAACTGAGCTCTGTATACAGCATCTACACTTATTACAGTAGCCACAACAACTAAACATGTTAGAGGTGTGTGTGCTATTTCACTTGCTCTATTGGAATGAAGATGCAATGGTGTGTTATAAATATGTTTACATGTGTGAACCACCTTTGAGAGAATGATCAAACTGCTTGTCTGCCATAACTGCAGACAGGATGAAAGCACGCTGACAGTACAAAACAGCTTGGCCAGTCTCGGCTGTTGCTTTAGTGCCCCTAGCCTTAGCTTAAGATGCTCCACCCACACACAAATGAAACGTCTAATATCTTTTGCACACAAAGCTGGCCACAACTATCGAGACATGCTTCTGTCCAGAATTAAGACAGGAAACAAAGTTTTCTTTTTCCAGCTAAATTCTAATCAGCGATAGTGAACTTCTGCCCGAATTGGACATTGTAACAAAAAATAAGCCTTTTAGAGAAAGATATATATCTGTGAGATTTTCTCAATTTCCTTCTCCTACACGCTGCGCCAAAACAGCGCGCTGGCCCTTTGGCATGTTCGCCATGCGACAAGCTAGTAAAGCAAAATATACAACAAAACCAGAGGAAATGAGAATAAGACAGTTTTGGTTTAGGCAAGTGTGGAACAATTTCAATACCATACTATTAAACTAAAAATAAATGTTATAAAAGTTCAGAACTGTATTGACTTTAAAAAGAGTTGATCTCTGTCAATAATCTGGGGTCATCCTATCAGAATGAAGTGGATGGGGAGAGGCCTTATGTAACTTATCTATAAATACCTTATAAAGTCTCAGGGTAACTAACAAAATCTAAGGGTGACCATTTTTAAATCCTTAAAATTCCTGGCCTATGACATACTAAGGCTTATTATTCAGTAACTGCAGGAACTTCAGTGCAAACTGGATGAGCTATTCTCAGGTTATAGAGGTGTATAATAAAACCTTGGGCCTGCCGGCAGGCCCTGGCTATTTTAGAGGTTAGGGTTATTTTGTTTTCGAAAATCATATTAGATTTTGACCTCAGAATCAAAAATCATGTGAAACCTGAAAATACCTGTTTTGTTACACCCCTAGATTTAAAACATGGCTCAAAGCCAATAATATAAAAAAGTGCAGAGATAAAAGACCATGTTGAAATTATAGTGTAATATACTGTGACAACCTTTGCTGCTAGTGAAATAAAATAAAATAGCTGCAAGATGCCAAGCGTGTTGCCAAGTGTGCCAAGTGTGCTGACAAACCACACACACACTTTCAAGCTAGGCAGAATCTACACAATTAATCTTTTCCTGGGGAAAGCTGAACTTAACTGCCCATTAACTTCTGACGCACGCAGTGCCCAACACAACTCAGCTTGGAAATCGCATACCTTTTAATTCTAACTATTACTTTTACTGCCTGGATTTATATGCCAGGATAGGTTGCATCAGCAGAAAATTAATCCAAGGTAACCCTGGATTATTGAAAATGTACCATTTTGCAATATATCCGAGGTTTCTTAAGTGTAGAATTAAAGTCTGACATTGAGATGTTATTGCAGACATGGGTATAAACAGAGCTTTGCCTGGCAGCGTTTTAGGTTATAATCCCTGAATTATTACTTCCACATTTATGCGACCTCTGGTGG